AAGAGCAATGGCTCTCACTTCCTATTGAACTGATAGACCGCATAATTGAAAGCATCACACATCGCTGTTTGTGCTGTATTGCTTCTAGAGGCAATCATATTCCATATTAAAGGTACTTTTTCTATTGCAAACCGATACTTCCAATTTGTTTATTTTATACATGTGCTAATTTCTATACTACTATTAATGTCTGATAATTTCTTTTTATGTTGTTTAATACCTTACTATGTGTTGTATATTGTGGGTAAGTTTCATAAAATTCCATGTGTAATTTCTTGAGTTATCGCGATTTTTGTGAATTTTCCTTAATTTATGATAACCAGTGTATTTAAATATTATAATGTTCTAAATATTTTAATATTCTAATGTTCTAAATATTTTAACATTCTAATGTTCTAAATATTTTAATATTCTAATGTTCTAAATATTTTAATATTCTAATGTTCTGAATATTTTAATATTCTAATGTTCTAAATATTTTAATATTCTAATGTTCTAAATATTTTAATATTCTAATGTTCCAAAATATATATTTAAAAGAAATCGAATAATAATAAAATGACGAGTTTATCGCCTATAGCGTCCTAAAATTTGAACACTGGATGAAAGGGGCATATTTAACTCCAGATCCTGAAATTAGTTCAAAAATTTCAGTTAGATCACTCTTGAGAAATGTTTTAAAATGGAATTTTCTCATTGGCTTAGAATTTCACCCTTCAGGTAAAGTAAACTGCAGACGAAATTTTTTTTCAAATATTTTAATGAAAGAATCAGTGATGGTTTATATCTTATAGCCCTCATTAATAAGGAAGCTGTCTTCGCACGTTGTTTAATATCTAATTATCTTTTATTTGTGATGTCAGATGAACTGAAAGACTAATATGAACCTGGGTATATAAACGGCACTAAATTAGTATTTCTAAAATATATGTGCTCATTTTATTTATAGTTATACATTAAAAAGATGACTTTGTAAAACTAAAGAACTAAAATCAATAGTTTTTTTTAAATAAATTATAAAATCGTAAAACAAAATGAATGGGTAAATAGTGCTAATTGTATTTAGAAGAAGCGTACAAATTTGTCACTCTACAAGTAACATCAATGATGCTTGATTAATTTCGGTAATAAGTACTTCTTGAACTAAAAAATAATCTTGAAAAAAATATGAAGCAAAATTAATTTAAAAAAGGTGAAAGTAATATAGAAGAAGCGAAAAAATCTCCGTACTATTATTGACACCGATAATATTTATTAATTTGGTAAAAGTAAGCTATGTACTGTAAAGCAAGGTTAATGTAGAAAATTTATTTATTCGTTTAGAGGGACAGTAAAAAATCTCTATATAAACTATTACTTGCCACTGTGATGCTTTATTATTTTTTGTAAGAGTTTCAAGTTAAAGGGAAGAAATGAACTATGTACTTAAAAGCAAAATTAATGTATAAATGGTATTAATTCATCTGAGAGAAGAGCATTAAATCACAAAAATATGATTGACACCAATTATGTTTAACTAATTTTCGAAATAGATGCTAAATCAAATAAGAAAATAAAATTTATACTAGAGAGCAATATTAATAAAGAAATTGCTCTAATTCGTGTTGAAAAAACGTTGAAAACCGCTATACTATTTATTGACGCTAATGAAGTTTTATTAGTTCTAGTAATATGACCTACTGATATTACGGTAATTGGTGTAGTTTTGATTAGGGTACAAGTATACAAATAAGGGACGGCTTATTAAAATTGCATCAAAACTGTACAGTTTTAGTATAAATACTGGGAAAAGAGTTTTTTTTTACTGTTCCTCGAAAGGAATACGTGTCGGACAAAATTACTTGATTTTAGTAAATACATTAAGAAAAGAATTCAATATATTAAAAGCAATTAAAAATAATACTTCCAATGGAAAAACACGCTAAGCAGCATAAAATCCGAAAGGAATTGAAACAAAAGAAACAATGAAATATGAAAAAAATGAATAAATATGACAACCGAAACTGACGTCTTCAGGGGGTACCAGCTCCGGAAGTCATAAAGGCAAAACCTTTTCTATCGAGAGAGCAAGACAAAAGTCTTAAATTGCTCTCTCTCTCTCTGTACCCTGAAGGTTTTGCAAAAGTCCAAGACGAGAATACAATACAAAATATAAAATACATGAAGCAAATACAGAAGAATAAAAACAAGACAAATATATAAGAAAAGTGCGCACAAAAGCTAAAAGCTAAGAGCAAAGTCTGAGAGACTCAAGTCTGTTTTAATAAAGAGAGTAAAAGCTTTTATCCCTAGAATTTTACACATGTTCTTATAGAACTCTTTTTCATGTTATAGTATTAAATTAGATACTTTTTGAATAATCAAAACCCATAATGTCTGCACAATTGGCGCATTTGTGCTTCATTCTAAACAAAAATTGAAAGCCTTTTTTTCCAATTTTTTGAAAGGTATTTCAATGTAAAATGATGTTTTTCTGCTTAATGCTTATTATGAAAAAAACTGCGATTAAGTTAAAATCAAAAACATAAATTTATATCTAAGATAACAAGGGTTAACTGGGTTGCACAAAGACAGTTTTTTAAAATATTTCCATATTATATTTCCATTAAGCGCTTTATTTATTATCTGTCTTACCTATTTTTGATTAGCCAATAACCAACACCATTTTCAGTTCCATAACCAACTAGAAGTCCAGTGTGAGTAAGGGGCCCATATAATTCGCTACAATATGGATCATCATAAACACCAACACCCCTAAAAGAATAAAATAAAAATCATAATCCAGTTAGATTAAAAAATCATAATTTCCGCCTAGGTAAGTAATTATACAAGTTATTTGCTTATAAGCAAAATCAGGGAAATCTATGAATTACCATGTAAAAATTTTAAAAAGATCTTTACATGGAAATTGAAATGGGAAATCTGTTGAAATTGCTTTAGGATATATTTTTGATGTTGCTTAGAAGGTAGAACAACTATCAAGGTTTTGTGTTTTTCCATCTTTGCGGCATTTGTATTTTTTCCACTCTTTTCTTTTAAGAAATGAAAATGAAATTAAAAACGCAGAAGAATTCGTCCATTCTAGTTCTGTCCTTGATAGCAGTGAAGGTGTAGAGGCGGATATTAAAAACAAAGCCATCCGTGCAAGAACATCTTTTAGAAACCTGGAATGGAGAAGTCAACGAAGCATTTAAGACTCAGCCAAAATAAGTATCTATAAAACAATGGTCATAGCAATTTTATTATATGGCTCTGAAACATGGTGCCTTTGAAAGTCAGGCATTCAAAATCTTGAGGATTAAAAAAAACTGCTTTCAAAAACTTTTCAAAATATTTTGGCTTGTTGAAATTGGAAGCAAAATAATATTAGAAAAAGCAAACCTAACTACAATAGAACAGGTAATCAATAAAAAAAGGCCGAAATAAACGGGACACATATTGAGAGTGCCAAGAGAAAAATTAGCGAATGTTTTTGTTTCTTGGGACCCTGACGGTAAAGAGAAAAGAAGAAGAGTAAAAAGGACTTGGCCGCGACAAATGAAAGTGGATTTTAAAATAGAAAAATTTTAAGTATTAGAGGTTTCCGGATCCCAAGCCAAAGCCTGGTGGCCAGATCCAAGTCACCGGACTCTGTCTAGTAACTACTCGCTCTCATTTTTAGAGATTTTCCTCTAGGCTGTAGTTCGCAATAATAATGCAAACTTTAATTTATTTTAACTGTTGCTTGAACAAAAAGACAGGAAAAGAATATTTATTTATTTATTTATTTAAGAAAACTTTAAACCGAAGAGCGAGTCGTTAAATGCCCCTGGTTTGGAAAATCGCGTTTGAGAATTCAACGGAGAAGTAGACTAAATGTTTGCGCCAAATTGTGGCAATCGAGAGTCAAGGCCTACCAGTAAGGTTGTGACGTCATCCACGAAAGTGCTAAGGAACGCGTTAATCAGATTTGTAATTTTTTTTGCTTTAGCTTTATTATTGGCAATAAAAAACTGCTAAGTTGTAAATTTTTAATTTTTTACTATTATGAAATTTAATTATTTAATGATTTATTATTTAACTATTATTAAATGCAAGTAATATTATTTGTTATGAAATAATATTATTTACATTACATAACAGAAAATGATTTTATAAGAAAAGTTTTCCTTTCACTTTCAAATCATGATTCATCAAAACTATTTTTAATATCAAAAGAATGAGCCTCATTCAAATGTGTCACTTCTTAGTTTTTAAAATCTAATGAAATATTGGATTTAATCTTGTATTCGAAAATAAGAAATGATGCATTTAAAATGGGATTACGTGACTAAGATTAAATAACACGTCGTTAGTTAATATCTAAAATAATATATTATATTATATTAGAAAAGAGACAAATAAAGAATTATTGGCATATTCATTAAATTGCCCTATTGAAGCAGGTTCTAAAAAATTCTTTTAGAACCAAATGAAAAATATTTAAATTCCAAGTGAAAATAATCTAAACGTAAACGCAATTATTTCAAATTAATGTCGCAGATAATTTAAGACTGTGGCAAAATAATTTTACAAAGTATTTTAAATCTGAATATTGTAAAACTTTATAATAATATTTATTATTTTCGAAAACTATTGGGAGCACAAATTAGTTCGGTCCGTTTTTAAAAGATGGCTCTGGCTGTTATGAATGTTTCATAGTGACAGCTGGTTTCGGTGGTTTCAGAGAGGTTAGACATCTGTCAATAATATTCAGTTCATATCGCTTTGAGTTTCATGCAAAAGCCCTGTTTTTTACTTTGTTGTATATGTCAAATTTTGTGGTAACCAAGGAGCATTTGCGGGAGGTTTTATGTTTCTGCTTTAATTGGAGAAAAAAAGTGCAGTTGAAGCGCATCGAATACTAGTAGAAGTTTATGGTGACAATGTTCTAATTGATAAATCATGTAGGGAATGGTTTCGACGTTTCCAGAACGATGAATGCTAAGTGAAGAATGGTGAATGGTGTTGTATACTATGAGCTGCTACAATCTGACGATTCCATTACGGGCGATCGGTATAAGCTACAACTGATTCGTTTGAACAGTGCATTACGAGAAAAATGGCCGGAGTACGAGAAAAGACATAACAAAGTTATTCTTCTGCCTGATAACGGTCTGCCTGATGCCGCAAAAGTCGTAAAAAATTATTTAAAAACGCTCAAGTGGAATATTTTACCGCACCCGCCATATTCGCTGGACATAGCTCCTTCTGATTACTGGTTGTTCCGACCGATGCAGTACAATTTGGCAAGTCACCGGTTCACTTCTTTTGCAGAAATCGAAAATTGGCTCCTAACTTAGATTCAAAAGACGAGACATTTTTTCTGGATGGAATTAGAAAATTGCCACAGAGGAGGGGAAAAGTAGTAGCCAGTGATAGACAATACTTTGATTAATCTGTTCATTCATTTTGTTCTGTAATAAATGCATTTTTGAGCACAAAAAAACGGACCGAACTAATTTGTACTCCCAATAATTAAGCTTTTGCTTTAATTTTTTCAGTCTTCAACCAGTATCAAATGTTAATTCGCAACAAAACACATCATTTGTCTCCTTCCGCAATCAAACAGGTTTAAATGTTTCATTTAACTGCCTCTCTCAACTGCGAATTGTAGTATTTCGTAAGTTTTTGTTTTCTAAAATATCAATTTGCAGCAAATAATACGTAAATTTTTTAATTTTCAACTTTGATAAAGATTAAAACAATTATATCATGGGCGTTATTAATGAAATACACTGTATTTAAAAGCACAAGAAAAAAATCTTATAAAAAAAAATCTAGAACTCTTCCGAATCTAAAAAATGCAAATGATTAATGCTCGATGATAAAGAGGTCAAAGTACCCTCAGAACAATTATTATTTTTTAAATAAAATTAAAACAACCATTTTTTTCAGTTGCAAGACGTGCACATTTAAATAAAAAAACAAATAATTTCCAGGTGGCTCAGATTTGGCTCAAATTTTTACAAAATGGCTCAGATTTTCTTGAAAATTCAAAAAATAGCTAAAGAATTCTCCAATTTTAAATTTTTAAAGCTGCAAGTTTCTAACACTAACTCGGATGTTAACTTGATAAATGTCGCGTTTAAGTTAATGTATCAATTTCTGTATGAGCTATTTTTTAGGGGGGGGGGGCTTTGCGAACTGAAACTTTCGGGCCATTTTTATAACAGCCTTTTCACAACTATATAGCATGTTTAAAATTTAGATAATAACAGATGTAAAGAATAGCATAACAAACGAAGTTGCTCAATGTCAGATATCTGTTAAGAACTACTGTCTTTCAAATGATATCCAAATAGCGTGTTACAACAGAGGATAGAGCGTTCCAGTGAAGTGACTGGGCTTAAATCCCAGTGATGGCTGGTCGAAACGAATCCTGCTTGCATTGACCACAGTGCTGACGCAAAATATCCTCAGACGGATCATGGGTCCTCTTTCCATCAGGCTAATTGTGGGAGGTTTTCCTCTTCATGTAACGCAAATTCTGGTTAGTTCCATCAAAAAATCCTCCACGAAGGCAAAATTTCTCCTAATACTTGATCCAGGAGTTCCCTTGTCTTCTAATTACAAGCCTACGGAGTTGAGCATGAGAAGTCGTAAAGCCAAAATTAGATCGGCTGTGCAACGACGGTTATAAAATAAGATAAAATAAAATAAAATGGCATGACGAGCCTAAGTAATAGCATTTTGTAATTAAACAAACCAATGAATTCACTTTGGAAGTGAACATAATTGTGTAAAACTGGAGGGCTTTATCAGCCCCTGCTGATCACTTGCTATGCCCCCTAATTGCTACGCAATTATTTTTTATTAGCTACATACTTAATTGTTTTATCGTATTTTATGTGGAATTTTTTACAGTGTTGACATAAAACAGTTGAAATTATTTACTTACATGAGTACTAAAAAAAATATTTTTTGCTTGTGCTTCCCACGTCCAAACATTTCCCTTAGGATTCTATTAAAGTTCCTGGTTTCTTAGAACAGGTCGACGTTACAAAACGTCAGCTTGAAGCGAGTGCTAACCCCTGATTGGTCATTTTGTGAGTTAGACAGCACACGTCATCGAACGCTCAGCTTGAACGACGACTGACGTCCGAATCAACTGCATTTGGATTACAACGTAACGTTAACGACCGAAGCAATGGCGGACAACATCCAACAGACCATTGAAATCAGCCAAGAATTTGATTTTAACATTAAACATAGCTTCTTCTTCCTCTTCCTCTTCATTTAGCTTAGCTATAATGTGTTTTTTCTTGGACAAAGTCATTATTTGTTCTCTAAAGTACTGTTCGTCAGTAACAAAATCAATACAAATTAAAAATAAATATTTGTTTACGTTATTAGCGCATGCGCAAAGTTAGATAATGTCTGAGTTGGACCAATTGCTCACTCCAACAAAACAGTATTTTGTTGGCATTAGCGGTACGTCAACTTCCCGCTGACGCCCAGAAAAGGCGCTTGTCTTAAAGAAACCAGGTCTAAAGAACTATAAGTGAACATAAATAATTTTGCTGAGTAACAATTTTTAAAATAACATTCAAAATTAAAGGCATGTTGTTAGAACATATTTGGTGAGTTTTACAACTGTCATTTAATATTTCCGATTGCCAAACAGGTTGATACTTATACAATTTTGCCCACGTCATCACACTGTGCATGAAGCTGATCGTTCAGCTCTAAATCATTTATCAAATCGCTTTAGCAGTAATTTATTCCAGCATGTT